AAAAAAAAAAAAAAAAAAGGAATTTGGGCAAAGGGATCACAATACCATCTACAACTATGAACAAACTCTGTGGGCAACCAGGACTCCATCCTGAGGTTCCCTGGAGACTGTGTGAGACTCACCTGACTCATCCTACCTGAGGTGAAGGGACCTGGAGTACTCAGGCCCCAGCTTTCATCTGTCACGGCTGCTCCTATGCATCCAACCCTGGCTACCTCTAGAATGTTCCAGCCATAACCCGGTTGCATATCCTCGGCCAGAGAATGCCATCAGCAGGGGCTCACTGGTATAATATGGTGAAGAATGGCAAGTGTCCAGGGGACAACACCATGGGGATGACCAATTATCCAAGTCCCCATTACCCATCCACTGCCCAATCTCCACCATCTCTTGCATCCTGCAGAGCCAAACCCAAGTCCAAGAGATTCGGGGACTCCTAGTTTGAGAATATGGCACCCACTACATGCCACCCTGACTTGTGACAGATGTGAGAGAGTCTTTGCCCTCAGGAACCCCTGTCTAAGGGAAACATATAACTCAGTTTGTAACTGGAAATCACTATGATGGTTGACAGAATGAAGGAAGTTTGGGGAGTTTGTGGGAACATATATTAGTGACAAAACCAGTCTGGAGGTCAGGAAAAGACCTACCAAGCATCAGGCACTGTACTAGGTCCTGAGCCTTAAAAATCATAAGAATAAGTACAACTGGATCAACATTATTTTTTTTTTCAGGAGCTTATTGGTCTCAAGTTGCAGAAACAAATCTGAGACTACGTAGTTTCAGGCACAACTAGATCTGGGCACTCCTATTATTCAATTTCTGTTACTGTAACAAAACACCCAAGGCTTGGTAATATATAAAGAAAAGAGGTTTGTGTAGATCATGTTTTTGGAGACCGAAAGTCCAAGATCAAGCAGTTGCTCACTACATCGTGTCACCGCAGATGTCATCATAGTGGGAGATATTCAGGGGTCAGGTTTGATCTTTGTGTAACAACTCACTTTCATGGGAAAATAACTGGAGTGCCAGAGGAGTACAATAATCCTTTGTAACAGTGGTGCCCCGGTGATCCTATCAACTTTCACCAGGCCTATCTGTAAAAGGACACACCACCCCTCAACACCGTCACAGTAGGGACCAAGCTCCCAGAATGGGAAGATTTGGACGACACTCAAGACCACAGCAGTGCTCAGACAGCATCACCAGGAGCCCGTCTTTCCCCTGCGCTGGCCTTACTGTCCCCTGGACAGCTTCATTCACAGGGAGACCCTGCCAGTTCACACCCACATGGCTCCCAGCCCCCTGCTTTAGCAGCCCCAGCTCTAGCTCAAGTCTGGGGCCAGCTCCCAGCCCGCTGGCCTGGGCCGCATGTCCCTAAACTGAGAGGGAGGGTAGACACTCAAGGTGTGCTGTTAAAA